ATCTTTGTATCATCTAATTTCACCTATTAAAATAACAGTTCGTTTCAAACGCTGAAAAGAAAAATGAAGATTTTTTTGTGTTTGATTCAACTATATCAGTTCAAACTGAATTTTATTATTTTCTCCCCCATATTATTTCCGATGATACTCAACCCGTCAAAAGATCAATCAGTTCTTGCCGAAATGTCTCAACATCGACCATGGCTGCCGAGGCTATCCGCCGATAGATCGATAAATCGCGAAATGGCCCGTTAGGCCAGTTTAATTAATAATTATCGGTTGGAAGAGGAGCACCTTGCACAATGGCGATACTTCCTTCTGGCGTAATCCTTGGAAGATTAACGAGCCTGTGCCAGGAGGGACTTCTCTTTCGCTCCTTCTCGTCCATTTTCCCTTCCTCGCTCGCCCGTTCTCACCAAGGCCCCCGGTCCCTATCTCTCTTACAGCCGCAAGACGCCATAGCGCGCCTTGCGGTGGTTGCGGCAAGAACCCTCGCCGTACCCGCATTAACGCAATTATGAATTTGTCGCGTTGGGATCTGACAATACAAGATGTCGCTACCACTCCTCCGCCGCACCATCCTATCCGCCGCGACGTCCTCCGACACACCCGGCAAACCCGCCGCCCCGCATTTACACTAAAACCAATTCCGGTTTCTGCGGGCGTAAAGAACCGACGCCGACGCCGGATAACCTTCTGCTAATATTTCGGGATATTTTATATTTTTGCCGTCTTATATTTTTGCATTTCTGCATCTTTCGCGTAGCAAAAGTAGAAGAATGCAAAGTTAGACTTGAATGCAGCAACGAATTGTAATTCGAAACTTTGCGAGTATATCTATATATGAAGATCGTCGGTGTTTTCGCCAGTAACGCTGTCAATTGTAAATTACAAATTCATATTCTCATGTTCTTAAATAATAAATTATTATTTTCTGAAAAGTCTATTTTTTTCATAGTTCAAGTACTTTGATGTTACATCGACAAAATGATTACACAGTCAATCAATATGACTTGTTTTCAAATGCTGTATCTTTGTATCATCTAATTTCGCGAGACTATTTCGACTCACACCGCGATTATATTCAATCTTTCACGCATCGCAGGAAGATTTAATAAAATTCTTCTCACAAAATTCGTTGATACGTTTATTTCCGAGCTGTGCAAATAACACCGTCGTCCACTGTCAGCGGATCGATCTAGTTCACATTTTCACCTTGCACCTAACGATCTCAAAATTCCCGATCTTCGACGACGTCACGCGCGATAAGTAAATCGTTAACCGGCGTTCGCCGGCGAAGAGAGCAGTGTACACGGCTGTCCAAAGTTTACGACGTTGTTTCGCCAGGCAACTGATCATCGTCCATCAAGCACCCCGATATGTCTCACGGTTGATTCTCGGTGCAACACCGTTCCCTCGACCCGTGTGCACGTAAGTCGCCCCCCTCGGTCTTTTCACTTTCGAATCGATAGCGGATGCACATCGCGTGCCTGCTCGTTAACCGCTTTCCGACCGTTTCGCGGCGAGGGAAGCGGCGCGCAGTTTCGGCCGTGGTGAGTTTAGTTTCGAAGGGACCCGACGATAGCGGTGGCAACGGTCTCCTCCGGTAGCGTGCGGTACCGTACAATGGCTAGAACGACAAAGTATCGTTGCGGCGAGCCGCAGGCGACTGCTGCGACCGGTTTCTCGCGACAAATTCCTCCTGGGCTTCGAGAACGCACCCGCTAACTTCTCTCTCCCCTTTCCTTTTCGCTCTCGCGCTTTACTTTCCGTGTATTACCAGCCTTTCGACGATACTCGTATTTGTATATGTGTATTACAGTTGAAGCGAATTGTCCGATGAAATATTTGACAATATTAACTTGCTGGTAAACTTCTTTTTGTGAATTGAAATACTTTATCTTTAAATTTCTCGTAAATCACCAACCAAACACATCCCTATCTTCGTACGTCAAATATTGATACCTTTACTCTCTTTAACAAATCTTCGAACACCTCGGAAAATCACGAACCAAGTACCATCGTTTATATGCAACAAATTCTCCCCGCAAGACGGGAATTCGATCTATTCCATCAAGCAAACCCGGTTATACGAGAGGTTCCCGTGTTTGCAGCGTCCTAACGCGAGAAAATCAATCGACCCGGCCAACAGACCAGCCACGAGGTGCAAGGATCCCTCTGGTACTGTCCCTTCTGGTACTGGTCAAGTCAAACGGATCGAGGAGCGAGCCATAGGTTAGAGAGGGTGGCTCTAAACATCGAAACGCCGAGAAGGAAAAGGAGGAGAGCGATGAATGCCTAGTCAGCCCTTAATATCGTAAGAGCTGGATCCACGCAAACAAGCCGGCGGACCTAACACAGCCGGAACGGTTAAGGACTGGAAAGCCCTGGCCTTACCGGCGTTCGACCGCCGCTGGCCCTATTATCGCTAACTAATAAGGGACCTAATTGAAACGTCGGCCTTTTGTTTCCAGTACTCGAGCGCTGCTCGATTTTCCAACCACCGCGGTACACGCCCGCTGTTTGACCAGCCGGAGAGGAGACGAAGCGAAAGAGACGAGGCGGAGGGTGGCGGCGAGAGGGCCGCCGCCGGGGCTCAAGTACGGATTGAAATTAATTTTCGAACTCGAATCTGACGGATGAAATTTTCGTCTCGAAGCGCGTCTCGAAATCCGCGCGAAATCGATTCAACAGTGTTACCCGTTGACGAGAGTCCTTCTTGCGCTTCGATATCGTTCGTTTCGACGACGCCCTTCTTCTGTTGGTATTACGCGATGGAGTTTGTAGTATGTCGAGGAACAACGTGACTTTGTAATGTGTAAATAAAATCTCTGTCCATTCACAGTCGGATTTCCCGTAACGAACGAGTGCTACGATGAACTATTTTTCTCTCTATGAAGAGTATACTTGAGTTTAATTTACAAATACAATTACAATGCAACATATAAAATTTCAATATGATCAATTAAACTTATAATACGTATATTTGTACGTACGTTTTTATACAAAGTTCTAAAACTAAATGGTTCATTATAGGATACCACAGTGTTATAAATAACAGTCATGAATAATGACAAAAATACGAGGATAAGTTTGATAAATATCGTTAATTTAGCCAATATACGAATACCAATCACATCAATACAAACTGTCAATACCATAATCAACGAAATAATTTGCTGGAGAACATAAAACGCGAAAAGAAAATCCGTGACTGGAAAAGGGAAAAAAAAAAGAAAATTATCGAGGAAGACGTTGGCCAAGTACACACAGTTCTCGATTTCCACGGAGTATAAGCAAGGATTTTCACGGGGTGAAACGACGGCATCCAACGTAGACGAACGCCGACTCGTGGGGACGTGAAAAGCGAGGAAGCCGGCATCATGCATAACCCCACGTCGACCTCGCATAAATATTCTAATAACTTCGGAAACTAATATGATTGCATCCAGCAGGAATAATATCCTGTTCGAAGTGGGTATCGCGGGTATATATATATATATACATATATATATTTATATGCGTGGAATATGAAATACGTGTAGATCGCGACGTCCACACGAGAACAACGTCGCGTTCCTCCTCACGTAACCGTAGATCGCTGCGAGGGTGGAAGCGGTCTTTCTTGATTACAGTGATTACTTTAATCGAACTTTATCTTCCACGTCCCGTGGTTGGTTCGGTAAAAAAATAGTTATAGATGCGACGATGCGAAGACCACGGAGAGGTATCGCACCAAATGGTTACACGCACTGTTCGATTGCACTTGTGAATTGTCGCAAAAACGTGGACGCTGTCGCAGAGATAACAGGGGTAGAAGACGATATAGAAAGAAATATTTCCTTTCGGGTAGTTTTTGGTAGAAAATACTTTAGACGACGTAAAGTGACGAAGTGGTCGAATACAAGCAATCGTACATTGTTTGTACGTAAAAGATTTTGAAAGGGATTTTTAAAGTAAAATTGAATATAAGAGTTGTAGATACTAATATTTTCTTTCTCGAATATTTCTCGAATAATTTTTGATACGTTAGATAATGACTAGTTGTGAAAAAGTGGTTAGCAGAACTTGGTTCGCGGACCTTAACGAGTGACCGAACCGTATACAATAATTCGTCGCTTTCTTTTTCTTTTGAACTCGTCGGTATGATGATATCACTGGATAGAAATGATTAAAAAATAATAAAATTATCATTTGTTTTGCCTACGTTACATTCAAATATACTTAAAACTGAGAAAATGTTGCAATTTGGGACAAAAAATTCTCGACGTGCCTGGCACGTCATTCCAGCGCAAGAGGTCAAGTAAAGTATTGAATATACGTAAGTCACCGTAGATGCTAAATATAGAAAACTTTTGTCAAAATCAATTTACTAAATCTATCCCTCGACACACTGTTCGAAATAAACTTGAAAATTTCTAATACTATCGATTTAATTTTCTTCCGAACACTACCTCGCGAAACGTACCACGAAATTTGAAAATAATCGCGACGACTCGTCGATTATCGATTAAATAACTTTGCAGAGGATGGAGATAAAGTGCAATTTATAAGCGAGACGCGCGTATTGAGTAAGGATACGCCGGCACACGTGGATCACATATTTATTCTGACCGAGTACACGCGAAATTGGCCAAAGTTTCGAAATGTCGCTTGTGTTTCGGCACGAGACTTCGCCAGTTTCGATATACGCACGAGGCGAGTATCTCGTCGTTAGGACGGTTAAACGGCACTGTTCTATGTGTGTGTATGCGCGCGCCTGTGTATATGTGCGTGCAAGAGTGTCGAAAGTTTCGAGCGAATTCGAGAGAAACGAGAAAACAGCAAGAAAACGAGACCGCGGCAGGGGACGAGATATTTTCAAGCGCGCCAACGGGAATTCAGAGGCGTTTCGCAGTCGACGATGCCGAAGAAATTCGAGAGGGAAACGCGTCGCGCTAGAAACGATCCGAGAACGAAAAAAAGAAGAAAAGAAAAGAGAAGGTTGAGAAGAGACTCACCTTGCTGGCGTGCAGTTGGACTGACCGTTCGTGAGAGACTCTGATGCAAATCGTCCGTGAGGCCACTCTGCCGGGTTTTGCTCAGATACAACTGGAAAAACAGAGAAATGAAACATTATTCTGGAAAACGTTACAAATCTTACTTGAACTTGCAACGAATAAAGGTCAGAGAAATTTTATAAAAAAATGTCCGTTTATTCCGAAAACTGAACAAATTGACAAGCGTTAAGATATTGTAGCACGTTAGAAATATTTATTTTCTACAAGAAAGAATACGACAAACAGTTCTGAACTATTCTTTTAATTAATTGAACGAAAACTAAACTCTGTCAAAAGCATTGTAAAAAATGATTCTTTAGTCGATTTTTCGATATTATCAAAATTACGACGATTGCTAGAAAGTTTATAGAACGACTACCGATCGTTCTAAATTCTTCGAATTGAGCTGAACATTTCCCAGCGAAAAAAAAAAAAAAAAACCAAGGAATTTCATGAGAAGAACTTCGCTCAAAGACCCTCATTGAACACACCATCCTGCATATTTCAGTGCGATATATTCTCAACAATCGAGCAACGATCCAGAGCAATCCACGCATCACGAACCGTAGAGAAAAGATTGCAAGGTTCGAGTCTCTCGAAAGCGGCGTTTCCCTCGGAGGGACCTGCCACTCGACACTCGCCCTGGCCCTCCAATAAGGAAGTCGCGAACCTCCGTGTCCGACCGGCGAATTTCAGTATCCCGATCACGCGCTAAGGGTGAACCATCCCCTTTAATATTAGGGCCAACTCGGACCGACTCGTCTTGGTATAAAATAAAGGGCTGACATGCGAGCACGGGGTAGAGAATCGAGAGAAGGTGGAGGAAACCAGCGGAAAGGGAGGCGCGAGCTTGTGGAAGAACGAGGAGGCGCAACGTGGAAGAAAGACAGCAAGGAGGGAAGGGTGGCTTCACCACCATCGTGAGGGATGACTGAGCGAGTCGGTTAAACGGGCGTCTTCTTTCATAAATTTCGAGGGGCCGCCGGATAAAGGTTTAGAATAAATCGTTCGGCCTGTTATCCACTCCGACGTCGGCAGATAACGCCAGACCAGTCTAGCCCGAACAGCCTCGACAGCTTCTTCTTACGTGGTACCCTTTACGGTATCGCGCATCGTCGTGTTTCGTTCATGTATGGCGGATTAAAATAAATTGTTCAAGACGAATTTGGATCGATTGTTGCATTTAAGTGTTGCACAAGTTTGTGAATTTCTCAACCGAACAATGTAGGTATAAAGATATAATGTGGAAATATAACAGACTTACGCAAGAAGGTGACAAAAGTAATAGTATTCCAAGATAAATTTAAAAAAATGTATTTGCAACGCCAACACGTTTCTTTTTTTTTTTGTTTTTTGAATTCGTGATATTCATCAACGTGTAAATTGCAATCTTACAGTTAGATTGAAACGCTGGTGTAAAATTAATATTTTTAGATTGGAGGGACATCCAGATATTAATTCTTCATTCAATTTTTGCTTAATTAGAACATCTTCGTATCTGAACAAAGAATAACTTAATAGGGACTTGCTAAGAAATTTGGAAAAATTGCCTCAACGTTCTTCTAAAAAATAAGTATTACATATAATCAAACGTTACAGTCAACCTCTCCAAGAAGCGATCGCTTACATCAGACATCGCGTTTCGATTTTTCGCGCAGTAACTTACGTCACCGTGGAAAATGCCGTGGAACGCAATATGAAAGTGGAAGAAGCGTGCGTGAAACGCTCATAAATACGTCCTCGAAGATCGCACAAATCGCTCGTTCGAGGCCAATCCCCTTCTCGGTTCTCCGCCAGAGAGATACGAGAGGGAACCCTTCTTCGTCTCTCGCCAAGTAGACACCGCTGGGTACGTTAAGTATATACGTTACATCGACGTACGTATACGCTCGACGTGCACGTCGATATAACCGTCCAAGCATATAGACAGACACTCGCGTGATATAGAAAAGAAGATAGAAAAAGAAGAAGAAGAAGAAGAAGAAGAAGAAAAAGAAGAAGGGCGGTTTTGAAGAGAGGGTAGAGAAAGAGAGAAAGAGAGAGGGGGGCGGCTAAACCAGGCCAGAAAGCCAGTCCAATTTCTCAAACCTGTCCAATCCGTGTCGTATGCAAAATCAATCACGCGGCAGCCTCGCCCGGCAGCCGTCGAGACCCCACGATTTTCAAATCCGACCGAAGCCACGCGGTAATCCAACTCCCGGGGCGAAACTTCTCACCCATCCGCGATCGCCAGACCGCTCGAGCATCTTCCTCTTGGTTCCACTGGCTCTTTCTCATTTCTTTCTCCTCTTTCTCTTCGCCTACCTCTCCTACCTTCGCGTCGTCTCGGCGGCAATCGTACACGGCGTGACGTTCCATCTGGTTGGCATTGTCGAAGTTAGATGCCAGGCGTCGAAACCAGGCGATCGAATTGGACAACGATGTTTGGAGTCCGTCTATTTTCGAACGACGATCTTGATTTAGAGCCCCAGGGGCAGGACTGAGGGGAACGGGGAACTCGGGATGCTGAGATCGAAAGATTTTGTAAATAGAAAGAAAATGAAAAGAGCGCGAGTTGGGATTACTTTGATTGGAAGAGTATATATATTTCAGTTGGTTAATTTTTTAGTTTCGTTACGTATCTTTTTAGTTAATTTTAGTTTTGCGTGTCTTTACTTTCGTTGTTTTCTATGTTCATTTCTATATTATTTATACTATCGAAATAGAGTCTCTGAAATTGCGATGACTTCCTACAATAAATTCTATTTAATCCATTAAGGTCTAAGCAGTAATTCTTCTTCGTAACACTATGAATATTTCAATTAATTTAAATTTCGCAAAATCACAGGGCACAAGTGAAAGAACAATAAAAAAGATATCGAGCAAATATATATTTAAAATGAAATTAACACAGCAGCACACTCTCGTTTCGTTGAACGTGTAACAAAGGTGTACCGCTAGAAAAAAGATCTCGGAAATATTCTACATTCGAACGCAAACTAATTAAAAGTCCAGAAGCCTCTTAGATTCCACGTGAAACTTCCACGTCCCAACTACGCTGTCTCGACAGTAAAGGGTTAAACATCGAGGACATTGCACCTAGGGAGTCCTAGGCATCTAGTTAACATCGCGACAAAGCCTAAACCCCCTCGGTATAACGGCGAAACGAGACAAAGCTGGCACCTAGAACCTACCTAGATGCAAATACCGAATACGAGGTACGGTGCGTACCTTTCGGCGAGGAAAGTTGGCGGACTGGATGCCCATTAGAAACTTCCTTCACACGGGTGTTCGTTTCAAGCCTACCCTTCATCATCGATATGCATCACCTTCGATCGTAGCTGACGATCATCATTAGGGGAGGTCCTCAGACCGAGCGGTGAAGCGCCGCCTAAGGCCTCCTGGCGTGGACTGGCTTCAAAAAAGTAATTTGTCCTTTGGTGGCAGCGACTTCAAAGTGTTCCACGGGAGCATTCGTCCCGCGAGCAACGTGTCCAACGGGCGCCGACGTTCGACTTGCGCACCCTTTCTACTTGACGATGCATCAGACTTGCTGATTTTTTTCCTCCCGGACGGAACGTCGACACGGACGTTGTTGTCCGGCGGTCCGAGTGCCACGGCGTCAAGGGTGTTTGGGAACTCGAAGACGAAACGGAGGGAGCGACGGCCACCACCACCACCACCACCACCACCATCAGGGGTGCGAAAAGTTTAGCATACGCATTTTGTACATTGAAATCCCGACACGCTCGTCCAACTTTAAATTGAAACCCGGGCTGCCGCCTCGACTCCACCCCGTCGATAGCCCATCGTCGTCGTGGCCGTTCTCCTCGGTCGGTCCGCGTAGCAGTCGCGCGTCGTCCCGTTTACGACAGCGTCGCCTAAATGTCGTCCGTCGAGAGAGGTTGGGGCAGGAGAAAACGAGATTTCCAAAATGTCTGATATCCGTTCGCCGCCGTTCCGATCGATCCCGCCATCGACAGAGTCGTTTCGAAAGCGGCAACTTTCCCGTGGTTCCCGCATTGTTCCTTTTTGTCATTTTTCATCGTGACCCACGGCTGTTTCCTCAATCCTTATTTTGAAGAAACTTTTAGAGAAATTTCACGTCAAATTGTTGCATGATACTGCACTCGGATACTGTATTCTTCTCTTCGACCGAATGAATATTCTTTCAATTCTTTCTTACTCGAAAATAAAATTGTTCACACGAATGTTGTATTCTACACCGATCTCCAGTTACTCCATTTTTCATACGATAAAATGCATTGATTATAAAGCCTGTTCTCTCAAATAAATTCCGTGCCTAACATGCCTAACGTACGATTTCGACATCTCGCACCTCACCTCCGGACAAATTCCACCGAATGATAATTAATCGGATCTTCGTTTACTTTATTTCTTGACCATGACACTTCATTATGCCGCTCACCTCTCGCCGCTCTCGATAATCCAATTTATAAGCAGCTAGCCACGCAGTAGTCAAGCTCTTATGAGAGGTGACCATAATGAGACCGGGCATTTTTAATTAAATAATACTAATCACAGGAACCCTCTTGCGCAGGCAAATCTCATCTGGTCCCTTCCCCGTCCACTCGCCTATCTCCTTCCTCCTCGTGCCCCCTTTCGCTCACTATCTTTCTCCCTCTCCGTCTCTCTCTCTCTCTCTCTTTCTCTCTCTTTCTCTTTCTTACACAGGGCGCGAATCGTCTCTCTTTTAGACTTCGAATTGTAATTAACATTTGGTTCTCCCATTAGTGTAATTAAAGTGCCATTCCATAATCTAGGAGGCTGAGAGAGAGAAGAGGGGTACCTTATCTTTCAGACTTCAGCCTCGACTGCGGGGGTCGTTTTAACCCCGCCGGCCGTCTCCAGCCCCTTTTCACAGGAGCACGCCGATGCCTGTAGCTTCCTTCGGCGATAACTCCTTTCTGGAAGAGGACTGTCTCTTTCTTTCTCTCTCTTCTCCCCCCAAGGGGAGGGTGGGGAGAATCGTGAAATCGGGACCAGCCAGAAGAAAAGAAAAACGCCGATTAAAACGTTTGGAAACCCGATCCCAGAGGCGTTCTTTAACCT